GATAAAGGAGATTAATCAGAACTGGCTTTGAAAAGCACTGTGGCAATTGCACAATTAAAACAGACTTTCAAGGTGGGGGGAAAGAAGAACGAACTGGGGAGGAGGGTAGAGAAAATAGTGCAACAATGAATGAATGAAAACCCAAAATCTCTGTAAATGTTCATTAAAATTAATAGACTGATGTATAGAGGAAGAAAAAAGAAGAAATTTTAAAACTCATTTTCTGAGAAAAAACAGAAATCAAAGACCAAAACTCCAGGTAAGGCGAAGAGAAATAAGATGATATCATTTAAAAAAAAAAAAATAAGAACATAAATCAAAATAATCTGGTTTTTATGGAAACTGAGTCTTGATCAAGGGAATACTAAATATTTGAAATTAGCTATTTTGTATTTTGGGTTTTTATTATCTTTAATTATCCACAAATTATCATTTTAATTATCAATATTAATTATCAACCAAATTGATCTACTCTCATTTTTCCTGTAACAAAGCAAGAAGAAATCTCCATTCAAGGTAATTTTTCTCTTGAGCTCTGGAACTTTCAGGATCTCTTCTAAGAATTAACATCACTCTTCCCTTTCTCTCCTCATCTCTGCTGTCATCTTCAGTTTTAAACTCTTTCTCTCCATCTGCTTCTTTTCCTAGTAATCTCTGGTGGCCTAGTGGGTGGGAACTCCGATGGCCTGATTGGTACAGAGTTGCGCTATCAACTCAAAATCCACAAGCTGCTCTGAGGGAGAAAGATGGGAAATATCCTCTCATGCCCCTAAAAACTTATTTTACAGTCAGCTATGGTTCAACTCAATAGCAATGAACAACAACATACAGACTTCAAACTCAAAATTCTAGTATCATCACCTGTCTGTATGTGAACTCACCTTTTTTTTTTTTTCACATGTTGGAGCCTATGACCTTTATTCACGCCCCTCCACAGAGTACAGTCGGAGACAAGGCCCCTGCTCAAAGCAAGATAATCTGGAGCTAGGACTCTGGTCACATCCTCAAAGTCCTTTGCCCCTGACACTCTCCTATGAGCAGGAAGTTTATAAAGTGCTGGTGTGTGACAGATCCTCCAGGCCTCACCCCCATAGCTGCAGGGACTCTGGAAGGGCAGAGCACAGCGGAGGTTCCCAGGGGGCTGAGAAGAGCCCACAACCACCACTGGGGCTGGGGACACTCAGTGCAGTCCTGGGCTGAGGGAACTAGAAGAGGGCACCTTCAGTCCTAGGAGGGACTCACGGGACTAGCTCTGAAGATATAGCTGCCGCCTAGGAGGATAGAGCTGGAGAAGTGTCTACACTCCTGGGAGGGAAGCAGGTAGGGGGGAATCGGGAGGGGTCTCAGAAGATAGGACAGCCCTTTCGGCGCTTGTTCTTGCGGACCTGGAGGCCTGCACGAGTGGCCATCTCAAATACTTCCCGGACTCCCTCTTTAGTCTTGGCTGAGCACTCGAGGTAGCCAAAGGCACTGATGCGATTCGCCATATCCCGGCCTTCCTCAGATCGAACAGGCTCCTGCTTCATCTTGGCCAGCTCTCGCCTGGTGT